AGCGGAGAAAATGAACAGAATAAACAATAGAAATAATTCAAGACATTATTACATCATAGTTTTTCAGTTTTTGCAGTGTAAAAACATGTAATTTTTCACTTTTTTTTTTCTCTTTTTATCCAGATTTTGTCCATAATATCCACTTGTATCTGGTTTAAGCCATGTCCCAGAGAAGGAGGAGGAGGAGGAGAGAGTCCTGCTGTTAAATCCACAGAGACGACATGTTTGAGTGACAGGAGGGAGCAGCATTAGCACAAGAAGAAGAAGCCTCTGCTGTGAGGAAGTCGACTCATTAACCTTACTCCTGCAGAATCACTCTTTACTTAAAGGTGCAGCACGTCGCTTCACCTGCAGGGGGTCCGCCTCCAGATCGACCCCGTTCAGGTACTTTACTGATACAGGTTATAAGCGAGATTATGTGTATGGCGCAGTTCATATAGACACAAGGCAAGTCGAAGATAGAAACAAAATCATCAAATAGTCACAGTGCACACAGGGGCCTTGATCTTTCAGTGGGGGCTTCAGGCAAAGTGGGGTTAAGTGTCTTGCCCAAGGACACAGCAAGAACAGACATTAGTGGGAAGTAGGTCTTGTGATGGGCTCGAACCCACGACCTTCAGGCTCATCAGAAGGATAGCTCTACCAACTGAGCTATCCTTCAGTTGTTGCAGTGAAACAGAACAGTTTTTAACCTGGATTTGAACATTGTCAGAGAAGAAGCCTGTCTCACGATTTCAGGAAGACTGTTTTAGCTGCATGAATCTGAAATGCTGTCTCTCCATGTTTAGTCCTGACTCTGGGACCAGCAGGAGGCCAGTCCCTGTGCTCCTCAGAGTCCCAGCAGGAGGCCAGTCCCTGTGCTCCTCAGAGTCCCACTAGTCACAGATGTACTTTCTGTGAGGCCAAGGAACAGAGACCTGAAAACTTTTTTTGTACCTATAGTAACTGTGATCCTCCTGTGTTTGCCTGAAATAAAAACATAGATAAAAAAGAGGCTCTGTCTGTAGGTTGATAACTAGAGTTTGGACACCCCATCAAATTGATAAAACAAGTGAAATTGCCTTGGTTCACACACACACAGATGAGGTCCCCGCAGTGTTTTGGGTCCCCATATGTCTGTGTGCATTCAGGTGGACGTCCCCATATGTCACAGCTTACAAACACACACACACACACACACACTCACATACAAAGTTTGGACACCCCTGTTATAAAATATGTCCAACAAGTGAAGTTTTCAGACACTTGTTGCCGTGGTTCTCAAAGCACACACACACACACGCACACACACACACACACACACACACGCACACGCACGCACACACACACACACACACACACACACACACACACACACACTGTTTTAATAATGCCAAAAGGCCTTTCTTTCCACCTTCTTCATCCCGGGGCAGTGTGGTCCAGCAGAGAGAGCACTCGTCTTCCACTCAGGACTTTGTGGCTCATTCAGTCCCTGAGGGCCCCGGTCTCCCATCACCAGTGGACGCACTAAACGGTGGGCAGCGGACAATACCCCCCACATCCCTTTGTGCACAAGTACTCAATTATTGCATGCCCTCCAACCGGCCGGTCCTTTCAGATACCTGCGCATGAGCGAATTACGGAGAGATGCCCGAAAAAGCAAAGAAGAAGAAGAAAAAATACTGCTTTTAATTGTGCAAAGGTTCTCATTAACTCTGGTCCAATACCGCCTTAAGTTCAACTGGTTACGCTGCAAAAAATGAGAAAGTATGAGGTCATAAAAGCTTGGGTTTTTGTCGGAGCACATTCTGACTGTGTTAAATCTGGATTCTCAAACGGGACACGGACATTTAGTCTGATTTCAAAAACGTTTCTTGAATCTTTTTGCTTTGTCCCATTGGTAAAAAAAATCTTCTTTTAAGGCAGTCAGAATTTTTGACAAATTGGGGCAATTTTTTTCTTGTTTTTTGTCACTTCTTGCGATGCACTTTTGGCACGATGTTGTTTTTTTACACTCTTCTCAAAATGTCTTAAAATTGAAATATTTTTGGTGAGGCTCATTGTTGTCCACTAAAAACCTCCAGGAAACATTTTACAACAAAATGATCATTGTCCACATGAAATTACGATATAATTATTATAATTTTTGGCAAAATTTGAGAAAACTTTGACTTATTTCGTATCACTTTTTGCAGTGTACGCTGAAAAATAAATGAACATAAAAAATAATCAATCAGCGCCTCATCGTCTCTGATTAAGGAAGACAAAGAAAAGTATAGATCCATGAATGAGAGAGATGGGAGAGGATGTGTGTCTGTGTGCGTCTCTGTTTGTTTGTGTGTGTCTGTTTGTCTGTGTGTGTCTGTGTTTGTCTGTGTGTATGTCTGTGTGTGTGTCTGTGTGTGTCTCTGTTTGTCTGTGTATGTCTGTGTGTGTCTGTGTGTGTCTCTGTTTGTCTGTGTGTGTCTGTGTTTGTCTGTGTGTATGTCTGTGTGTGTCTCTGTTTGTCTGTGTGTGTCTGTGTTTGTATGTGTGTGTCTGTGTGCGTCTGTGTATGTGTGTGTGTGTCTGTGTGTGTGTGTCTGTGTGTGTATGTGTGTGTCTGTGTTTGTCTGTGTATGTATGTGTGTGTCTGTGTGTGTCTGTTTGTCTGTGTGTGTCTGTGTTTGTCTGTGTGTGTCTGTGTGTGTCTGTTTGTATGTCTGTGTGTGTCTGTGTGTGTCTGTGTGTGTCTCTGTTTGTCTCTGTGTGTCTGTGTGTGTCTCTGTTTGTCTGTGTGTGTCTGTGTGTGTCTGTTTGTATGTCTGTGTGTGTCTGTTTGTATGTCTGTGTGTGTCTGTGTGTGTCTCTGTGTGTCTGTGTTTATCTGTGTATATCTGTGTGTGTCTGTGTATGTCTGTGTGTGTCTGTGTATATCTGTGTATACCTGTGTGTGTCTGTATACGTCTGTGTATGACTGTGTGTACCTGTGTGTGTCTGTGTGTACCTGTGTATATCTGTGTGTGTCTGTGTATACCTGTGTGTGTCTGTATGCGTCTGCGTGTGTCTGTGTGTACCTGTGTGTGTCTGTGTGTACCTGTGTGTGTCTGTGTGTACCTGTGTGTACCTGTGTGTGTCTGTGTGTACCTGTGTGTGTCTGTGTGTACATGTGTGCGTCTGTGTGTACATGTGTGCGTCTGTGTGTGTCTGTGTGTATTTGTGTGTACCTGTGTGTATCTGTGTGTACTTGTGTGTGTCTGTGTGTACCTGTGTGTGTCTGTGTGTACCTGTGTGTGTCTGTGTGTACCTGTGTGTACCTGTGTGTGTCTGTGTGTATCAGCCAGTGCAGACCTCCACATCATTCAGGAGTGACCTGCAGCTTTGGTCCCTCTTTCAGCCTCTTGCCTCCAACAGAAGACCCTCTCTTTCTCGGGGGTAAGTGTTGTTGTGCAGAGAAGAACGGCCTCCCAGGACTCCCAGTGAAAAAGACCTTTTCAAATCCCCCTCTACCTGTTTTTTAACGTCTAAAGCACTCGGGCCCGGGCTGATCTCGAATTATTGTCCCCTTCACTCTGAATACTTCCTTAAACTTAGGCCTCCAGAAGAGCCCGGGTCTTTTATGGCGAGGAAGAAGGAGATGAATGTTGAAGGAGTGGCTTTCGTCTCATTAGAATAGAATTTGCACTGTCCCTTAATTACGTAGTGGGGGCAACAATGTGATTTTCTTTCCACCCCAAACACAATCCCTCTGAATGGAGGGTTTTTGAGGCAGTTCATTTGCCGTTCTCAGTATTTAGTGTTCATTGATTCATAAATTGGGTAAGACTCATTTTCTCCATCTAATACCTCTCCACGGTCCCACACTCGTTCGTTTACCGTCAATAATACCGTTCCCAAGTAACGAGGGCGACCGACCGGGGCGAATAATTGAGGACAAAGGGCCCCTCGGTAAATATTTGCCCCAATCTCAAGTGATTAAATGCATCCAGAAAGAATCCAAGACAAAGACTAATCACACGTAGGCCTTTTTTACATTTAGTGTTGAATATATGTGATTTAGCTTTGATTAGTTGGGTAAGAGTCTGAGGACTGGGTCTATGGCCTCAGTCCTGGGTCTACAGCCTCAGTCCTGGGTCTACAGCCTCAGTCCTGAATCTACAGCCTCAGTCCTGGGTCTACAGCCTCAGTCCTGGATCTACAGCCTCAGTCCTGGACTGGATAAAATTGTTCAGGTACAAAACCTCATACTTCTTTTGTTTTTCTATTGTTTTATTGAATTTTTTCAAATGTCTCTTTGTGATCCTTGTCACAAACAAACTTTACTTTCTCACTTATTTAAAGCCCTTTGAGATATTGTTGTGATTTAAGGCTTTACAAAAACACATTGAATTGAATTGTGTAAAAAAGTTTCGATTCAACACGTATTTTCCACATATTTGTTGTTTATTTGCGCCATAAGAACAATGTTGACAAAGACAATAAATACAATATATATTACTATTGATGTCTGGTATATGCAAAAGGGAGCTACGGAAAATGCCCTCCACACACGCGCAATAAAAGGTGTACAATAATGTAACTATGGAAACTAAAAAAAGATTCTCAGACAAACAGTTGTTGCTTATTTTGCTGATATTAAAAAGTGTGGGCTCTTTTTGCATGAAGTGAAAAATGCCCATTTAAATATTTACAGTCTATGGTAGAGACGTGGCGAGGGGCACACTGGTACGTGGATGTATGGCGCCCTCGTGTGGACACAGATTACAACTGCAGACAAAAAGCTGGGTCATGGTTGAGAATAATACAGAAGGAGGAAAGTGTTTACAATAAGAAATATGAGTCTCTCTCTCTCTCTCTCTCTCTCTCTCTCTCATTTCTTTCTGTGAAACTAGATCCTGTTGTGTCTGTAACAAACATTAGAATATTTTCTTTTGACGAATGCGCAAATAACATAAAATAGAATCAATATAAAAATACAAATCTGTGAATATCGTGTCTTTTTTTTAACATCCCACAAAACAAACACAACATTCCTGGACGCCTCACTTCCTCCAGTCCATGTCTGTTGTATGTTGTGTTGGTTTCTTCTTTCGGTTCCTTCGTGAGCCTCCTCTTCGTGACAGAGGAGGCTGGCTCTTGTGTTCCTCCCCGGAGCCTGGGTCTGGGTCTTGGTCCTGGTCCTGGTGCTGTTCCTGGTGGCTCCAGCCGTCTGTGGCCGGGGGAAAGTCCTCCGGAGACTGCAGCGGTCGCCCATAAACTTTGCTCTGCAGATCAGCGATGTCGTTACGGATGTCTGCCATCAACAGAAGCAGGAAGTCGAAAGACCCTGGAGGACCCTGAAACACACCATAGATTCAGATTTAGTTTATTTTATTTGCAGTAAAACCCCATTGGAATACACGTGCAAGAGTCCCCAGTGAGCACCAGACAAGTACATGATAAAAAAGTGGATTTTTCAGGGACCAGGACAGTCATTGATTATTATTTATAAGAGCTGGATTTAAAAAGAACCTTCAGACAGCTCTCTGGTCTGGCTCTCTGGTCTGGCTCTCTGGTCTGGCTCTCTGGTCTGGCTCTCTGGTCTGGCTCTCTGGTCTGGCTCTCTGGTCTGGCTCTCTGGTCTCCTGATGGTCTCTCTCTCTGGTCTCTCTCTCTGGTCTCTCTCTCTGGTCTCTCTCTCTGGTCTCTCTCTATGGTCTCTCTCTATGGTCTCTCTCTCTCTGGTCTCTCTCTCTGGTCTCTCTCTCTGGTCTCTCTCTCTGGTCTCTCTCTCTGGTCTCTCTCTCTGGTCTCTCTCTCTGGTCTCTCTCTCTGGTCTCTCTCTATGGTCTCTCTATGGTCTCTCTCTATGGTCTCTCTCTATGGTCTCTCTCTATGGTCTCTCTCTATGGTCTCTCTCTATGGTCTCTCTCTGGTCTCTCTCTGGTCTCTGAGCCAGACCAAGTTGAAGCAAAACTGTCCTTGAGCACGTCCTTATGAGGCTAATTTGAGCTAGCAGGTTAGCATTGTGCATCTGTAAACAGTCTATCACTGACATAAGCAGAATTGGAAGTAACTACGTCCAATAAACTGTTCACTTTCATTATTCAACATTCAACATTCAGAAACATGTGACATCAGAACAAGTCTTACCGGAGCTCCAGTCGGCCCCGGGGATCCTCGGTCTCCCTGTGGATCCAAGACAAATATTTTAGTTACAGGACTCACAGCAGATATCGTAACATCATACAAACTGTTTACACCACAGTCTCTGGAAGTCGGAGAACGAGCTTTAATGGTGAGACTTTTATTATTATCATGAATGTGGTTTTTATCAGGAGCCAAAACAGAACTAGCACTTTTCTACTGCCAGAGAAAAATAGCACCCAAAACATGGCTACCTTTGAATGTTAACGTTAATTTCATAAAAATAACGACATGGAAATAAAAAGAGGCAGAAGAGGACACAAAGTTATGAAGATCACAAAAGGTCTGAGACAAAAAGCCGTCAAATTGACTGCTCTGGGAGTTCTAGTGTTAAAACTATTCATTGCCCATGTTTGTTACGACCACATACTGTGCCTTGCGAAAGTATTCGGCCCCCTTGAACCTTTCAACATTTCGCCACAGTTCAGGCTTCAAACATAAAGATATAAAATTTTAATTTTTTGTCATGAATCAACAACAAGTGGGACACAATCGTGAAGTGGAACTAAATTTATTGGATAATTTAAACTTTTTTAACAAATAAAAAACTGAAAAGTGGGACGTGCAATATTATTCGGCCCCTTTACTTTCAGTGCAGCAAACTCAGTCCAGAAGTTCAGTGAGGATCTTTGAATGATCCAATGTTGTCCTAAATGACTGATGATGATAAATAGAATGCACCTGTGTGTAATCAAGTCTCCGTATAAATGCACCTGCTCTTTGATAGTCTCAGGGTTCTGTTTAAAGCGCAGAGAGAACCATGAAGACAAAGGAACACACCAGGCAGGTCCGAGATACTGTTGTGGAGAAGTTTAAAGCCGGATTTGGATACAAAAAGATTTCCCAAGCTTTAAACATCTCAAGGAGCACTGTGCAAGCAATTATATTGAAATGGAAGGAGTATCAGACCACTGCAAATCTACCAAGACCCGGCCGTCCCTCCAAACTTTCATCTCAAACAAGGAGAAGACTGATCAGAGATGCAGCCAAGAGGCCCATGATCACTCTGGATGAACTGCAGATAACTACAGCTGAGGTGGGAGAGTCTGTCCATAGGACAACAATCAGTCGTGCACTGCACAAATCTGGCCTTTATGGAAGAGTGGCAAGAAGAAAGCCATTTCTCAAAGATATCCATAAAAAGTCTTGTTTAAAGTTTGCCACAAGCCACCTGGGAGACACACCAAACATGTGGAAGAAGGTGCTCTGGTCAGATGAAACCAAAATCGAACACAATGCAAAACGATATGTTTGGCGTAAAAGCAACACAGCTCATCACCCTGAACACACCATCCCCACTGTCAAACATGGTGGTGGCAGCATCATGCTTTGGGCCTGCTTTTCTTCAGCAGGGACAGGGAAGATGGCTAGAATTGATGGGAAGATGGATGGAGCCAAATACAGGACCATTCTGGAAGAAAACCTGTTGGAGTCTGCAAAAGACCTGAGACTGGGACGGAGATTTATCTTCCAACAGGACAATGATCCAAAACATAAAGCCAAATCTACAATGGAATGGTTCACAAATAGACGTATCCAGGTGTTAGAATGGCCAAGTCAAAGTCCAGACCTGAATCCAATCGAGAATCTGTGGAAAGAGCTGAAGACGGCTGTTCACAAACGCTCTCCATCCAACCTCACTGAGCTCGAGCTGTTTTGCAAGAAAGAATGGGAAAGAATTCCAGTCTCTCGATGTGCAAAACTGATAGACATACCCCAAGCGACTTGCATCTGTAATTGCAGCAAAAGGTGGCGCTACAAAGTATTAGCGCAAGTAAGTAAGTAAGTAAGTAAGTTTTTTATTTATATACCGCCTTTTCACTGCAGATCTGAGTCTCAAAGCGGTTTACAATTGTTAATTTTGGGCATTTGTCTCTCACTCCACACAGAGATGGGAGCGGGGCCCGTACAGGAGGCGCATGCCAGAACTATTGGACATATTTTTAGTGGTAGGGGAAACCGGAGTACCCGGAGGAAACCTACGCAGACACGGGGAGAACATGCAAACTCCACTCAGAAAGGCCCTGGTCCGGCCGGGATTTGAACCCAGGACCTTCTTGCTGAGAGGCGAGAGTGCTATCCACTCAGCCACCGTGCCGCAAGGGGCCGAATAATATTGCACACCCCACTTTTCAGTTTTTTATTTGTTAAAAAATAAATAAATAAATAAATTTCGTTCCACTTCACGATTGTGTCCCACTTGTTGTTGATTCTTGACAAACATTTTAGTTTTCATATCTTTATGTTTGAAGCCTGAAATGTGGCGAAATGTTGAAAGGTTCAAGGGGGCCGAAATTTCAGATTTTCTATTGGATATTGATGTGAAAGTAAAACGATACATGACTCTTCCATAAAAAGAACTGAAAAAAGTGGCTTGCAAAAGTATTCATCCCCCCTTGATATTTAGTGAAGGAGTCGTCCCAAAAGTTCCCTCCAATGGAAAACTTCTGGGAACTTTTGGGAACTCAAACAGCCTTTTGCTCCATCCACCTTAACATCCACTTTACCCTGTCCCTGCTGAAGAAAAGCAGCCTTACATTAGCATTAGTGTTTCACCACATACAGCGCTGTATATGTCTATCTTTAGGTTTGTGGTCGATTTGAGACGAAATGTGGAAGCAGCTGGGGAGGGGTATGGATACTTTCTCAAGACGCTGTATCTAAGTCTGTGTTTGGTTTTGTTTCCTGGTCTCACCTTGAGGCCGTCTCTTCCTGGAGCTCCTTGAGGTCCCTGTAAAGACGTCAATGTTTTATTCAAATGATAAATATTGGAACATTCTGTGACTTTATTAAAGTTCATTATTCCGCTCGGTCGACCGTCATAACATCGTAATCACAGCTGAAGTCTCCAGGCAATAACTTTCTTTTTGATCTTTGCAGACGAACTGAAACATGTATTTTTACTGGATATATCTCTGTCTCGCTGTCCTGTAAGTTGAGTCCTGGGTCTACAGCCTCAGTCCTGGGTCTACAGCCTCAGTCCTGGGTCTACAGCCTCAGTCCTGGGTCTACAGCCTCAGTCCTGGGTCTACAGCCTCAGTCCTGGGTCTACAGCCTCAGTCCTGGATCTACAGCCTCAGTCCTGGATCTACAGCCTCAGTCCTGGGTCTACAGCCTCAGTCCTGGGTCTACAGCCTCAGTCCTGGGTCTACAGCCTCAGTCCTGGGTCTACAGCCTCAGTCCTGGGTCTACAGCCTCAGTCCTGGGTCTACAGCCTCAGTCCTGGGTCTATAGCCTCAGTCTTGGGTCTACAGCCTCAGTCCTGGATCTACAGCCTCAGTCCTGGGTCTTGTCCTGGGTCTACAGCCTCAGTCCTGGATCTACAGCCTCAGTCCTGGGTCTTGTCCTGGGTCTACAGCCTCTGCCCTGGGTCTACAGCGTCAGTCCTGGGTCTACAGCCTCAGTCCTGGGTCTACAGCCTCAGTCCTGGATCTTGTCCTGGGTCTACAGCCTCAGTCCTGGATCTACAGCCTCAGTCCTGGGTCTACAGCCTCAGCCCTAGATCTACAGCCTCAGTCCTGGATCTACAGCCTCAGTCCTGGGTCTACAGCCTCAGTCCTGGGTCTACAGCCTCTGCCCTGGGTCTACAGCCTCTGCCCTGGGTCTACAGCCTCAGTCCTGGGTCTACAGCTTGCTCCTCATTCCTACCGTTGTGGATGTTGTCGACAGTCTGATTTATCTGTGAAAATACTGCGGCTTTAAACATTTGCCACACTCTGAGCGTTCACACAGACGTTTATATTCAGACCCAAACGAGCCAAAACCAACAGCAGCGTTCTGTTACGACCACGACACGTCTCCTTTAAGCTGCTCTTGTGTCCGTGTGAAATATGAAAGTGTCTGAGTGCACCTCAAACTGAGAACACTAGACTTAAAGGACTGTATACGCTCGGACTGTCTACGCTCGGACTGTCTACGCTCGGACTGTCTACGCTCGGACTGTCTACGCTCGGACTATCTACGCTCGGACTATCTACGCTCGGACTATCTACGCTCGGACTATCTACGCTCGGACTATCTACGCTCGGACTATCTACGCTCTGACTATCTACGCTCTGACTATCTACGCTCGGACTATCTACGCTCGGACTATCTACGCTCGGACTATTTACGCTCGGACTATCTACGCTCGGACTATCTACGCTCGGACTATCTACGCTCGGACTATCTACGCTCGGACTATCTACGCTCGGACATTTGGACGCGGAACTAGCGGTAATCTTTCAGTTATATATTGTGCTAGCAGTGCGTTGCTTTAGTATAATTTCATCAGTGAATGCTAATGTTAGCATATACAGTAGATCGCAAATGAAACTAGATGCTTCGTGGGATGAGAGCGTAGGGGAAATGAGAGACCTGTGAGCGAGTTGGGGGTGGGGCTAAACATTCAAACAGAGCACAAGATAAATAACAATAATAAACTAAACTGAGCCACTGTCGCCTCAATATAATCAACAATCTATATATATAAATTCTAGTGCAATAAATATATATGGTATGTATTGTGCGTGTGACAGTGACACATGTGGTTCTGTATTGCACATTCTGATTGCACAGATGCACGACATGAAAAAGTTTATTCTTGTCATTATTAGGTTGTTTGTTTGGTCTCGGAGCCTACGTTCTAGTCCTCTTTAGTTTAGCATAGACAAGACTCAGGGAAGGCTAAAAATCTTAGACTGTCCTGAACCTGGCCTCCTCCATCTACACCTGCGGACTGCCCCGCCCGACCCGCCTGGGAGTGCTTCAGTCCGGCACCCGACTGGTCCACGTTTTGCGGACTCTGCCTGGCCTTGGTCCTGGTCATGGATCTACAGCCTCAGTCCTTGTTCTACAGTCTGAGTCCTGGATCTATAGCCTGTCCGTCCATGTGGAGCGGATCCCTCTCTCAATGTGGGTTTCTGAGGTTTCTCACTTTTTTCCCACTGGGTTTTAGAGTTTTTCCTGTGATGCAGGAGAAAAAGACTGATGATCCAGGACACTTTAAAGTAGTACTAGAATTGAATATGCTGCTATCCAGAATATATAACTACAATATGTGTTTATAATATTCCGGGTGTTCATTTTGACATGTTCAGATGAATTATGTTAAAAAAACTGCTTTGAAGTGGCACCTTTTCACTTCCAGGTGGCTGAGTGGATAGCACTCTCGCCTCTCAGCAAGAAGGTCCTGGGTTCGAATCCCGGTTGGACCAGGGCCTTTCTGAGTGGAGTTTGCATGTTCTCCCCGTGTCTGCGTAGGTTTCCTCCGGGTGCTCCGGTTTCCCCTACCACAAAAAATATGTACAATAGTTCTGGCATGTGCCTCCTGTACTGGCACTCCCACCCAACAATTGTAAACCGCTTTGAGACTCCGATGTGCAGTGAAAAGGCAATATATAAATAAAAGCTTACTTACTTACTTACTTACTTCCGCATAGAAACGCTAGGGGGCGCCAAAATGGCGGCGATCGACGTAGGAGAAGGGTATCTCACAGCAGCAGCAGTCTGGGCTGAATCTGTAGGAGGTTTCACTGTCATCTGAACAAGGTATAA